TTCTCTGTGTAGCTTTGCGCCTTTCCTGGAGCTCACTTGGTAGCCCAGGCTGGCCTCGAACTCACAAAGATCCGCCTGCCTCTGCCTCCCGAGTGCTGGGATTAAAGGCGTGCGCCACCACGCCCGGCAAGAGTCTGTATTTTTATATTGAAAGTATCTAGCACTGATTAAAATCCATACCAGACATAAATCCCATCACACCAGGAACCAAAAAGCTTCCAAAGGAAAACAGGGCAAGAGCAACAATGGGTAGACAAGAACAACGCAACAGCCTTCAGAACCCCTCATGCCCAAGGGGTGCACTTGCCATCCCAGCACTTGGAAGGACTTCGAGTATGAGGCCATCCCCAGCGACGTAGTGAGACCCTGTCTCAACAATAAAACCCGTAACCATCTACACCATCAGTTAAATAGGTTGATTAAAGACCTTTTTAGACATTCCAGAAAATCATTTTAGGGATATGATTGAAGGATGTGTTTGGCAGAAATGGAAGGATGAAGGTTGAGAGATGACAGGAGATTGAGGATAGAGGAGCACCAACCCAACAGCCATTGGAAGAAATCCCCAAGGTACAGTGTCCTGGGGTGTTAGCACAAAATGCTCTCATGTATTTGGGGGTGAGGCGGTAAGGTGGAGTGGCAGCACTGGGGAAGCTCCAGTCGTACATCCCATAATAGGATTCTTTTTATGCTGAGCACAGAGAGCACATAGCTACTCAAGTCGTCATTCCTACAGTACATATTTACAGAATACTTGCTGTATGTTCATTTGGGTCAGGTGTGTTTATCTGGGCAACACAGTAAGATGACCTGACCACCCCCTCCCAACCCCCTGCATCTCATAAAAAAAAGTTTTATAGAATTTAAACTTTTATGGAGGAGCCAAGATGGCAGAGAAGTAGGCAGACGCCTGATGTCAGTGTGGCAGGTTCCATTTAAAAACTAAGGCAGGTTAGTGAGGATGGAGATGGAACAGTGTGGGGGGTATCATTTCAGTGTTCAGAAATTTTGAACAGTCCATTAATGTGGCATGTAGATTTGGAAGGAAGGAGTCATGTGGATACTGAGGGAAGAGGATTCCAGGCAGAGGGAAGAGCAAGTACCTAAGTGAGAAGCATCGGTACCACGTGATGCTGATAACCAAGGGGCTAGTTGTGAGCCTCCAGCAAGCTCCTGCTACTCACTGGGAGGCAGCTGCCCTGTGATGGGGACCATCATGGGGATACAGTGATGACACATGTACTACCTGTGTGGTAGGCTTTGTAGGCTGCATAGTTATCATTGCTTTGGATCTGCCCCCAAGTAGTTGAAAATCTACGAGCAAAATTTCTGGAGATAATTAGGTTTAGACTAGTGGTCTTCAACCCTTGCAGAGTATCTAAATCATCATATAAGCATGTAATGATAGATTCCCTCCCATATCTTAGCCTCTGAATTTGGTCCAAGTCAAAATAGGATATAGACTCTTAGGAAGGTTGCTGTTCTAAGGACAGAGGGAGAGAGTACTGGGAGGGAGATCTGGAATTGTGGTGTGTGTGTAGGGAGGCCAGAGATGAAGAAAACTAGTGCAGTGGAAACTCCATGGAGTCTATGAGAGTGACCCTAGCGAAGTCTCCTAGTTATGGCTATCTTCTATAATCAGGCAAGGCTTCTAGCAGTGGGGCTGGAATGTCAATCCACCTACAAAACCTTCTACCTACAGTCTGCCCTGCCTGCAAGATGTCCTGGGGTAATGGTGGTGTAAAACTTGTGGGAGGGGCCAACCAAGGACTGGTCCAACTTGAGGCCCACACCACAAGAGAGAACCCACGCCCAACACTGCCTGGATGGCCAGGAACCAGAGGCAGGACATCCCGGAGACCCAGGGTAGAACCAACATGAATGGCAAAAAAAAAAAAAAAAAAGTCAGTGAAATGATTCTTAATGATATTCTTCTATACCCATAGATTGGTGCCTAGCCTAATTGTCATCAGAGGGGTTATCATCCAGCAACAGATGGGAGCAGATGCAGAGACCCACAGCCAAACACTAGGTGGCGCCAGAGGAACCCTGTACAACGGGGAGGGAGGATTGTAGGAGCCAGAGGGGTCAAGGACACCATGATAAATATGGCCCACAGAAACAACTAAGTAGGCCTCACAGGGGCTCACAGAGACCGAAATGACAAACACAGACCCTGTATGGGTCTGATCTAGGTGCTCTGAATAAACCTTAGGCTTGTATAGCTTGGTGTTCCCGTGGGACTTCCAACAGTGGGAGTGAGGGGTGTCTCTGACTTTTTTTGCCTGTGCTTGGGACTCTTCTTCCTACTGGGTTGCCTCATACAGTCTTTATGAGAGTTTGCGCCTAGTCTTACTGTAACTTAGGCCATGTTCAGTAGATATCCCTGGGAGGCCTGCTCTTTTTTTTTTTTTTTTTTTTAAGATAAATGGAGAAGTGGATCAGGGGAGAGAGGAGGTATGAGGAGGAACTGGTAGTAGTGGATGGAGGGGAAACTGCAGACAGGATGTAATGTATGAGAGAAGAACAAAATAAGAAAGGATATACTCTATGTCATGTAGTTCATCCTGCTGCAGCTTCCTAAGTACTGGAACTACAGGTATATGTCACTAAGCCTGGTCTGTCATCAACCCCCAGCAAGTGTACTTCAGGTAATTCTGTTCTGCAGACCAGATATAAAACTATTAATTTTGAAGACATTGTCTCACGTCTAAATAAATTTCCTACACCAGAATATAAAGTGATGTAATGTTTCCCAGGATTATTGATTTCCAATAAGACTCCTTCACAGAACATTCTGATGACAGTGTCTAATATCCCTGTAGCAATTCAGTATACATTCAACACATTTCAGGGCTGACAATTGACATTTGAGAGTCACCAGGGAAGAAAGCCAACTTCACCCCAGATGGTAGCTTGCCTTCTTCACCACTTCCTTGTTAATGCACCTGTTATTGTCCTGAAAGTTACAATGATTGCTTTGCTTACGTGGCAAAAACAGGTTATGGCAGGTCCAGCTGCTCTACATGCTACTGGAAGAAGAGGATTTACCAGCTCCTCTTTGATGTGACACATGCTGTTTCACAGCCCACAGTGATTTTGACTGATCTCCAGAGCTCCCACAAATGATCTTAACTGTGAGGGCTTAATACTACAATTCTTGATAGCCTAGAACCTCGCCATTGCCAACATTTCCCATTGTACTCCTCCCTTGTGGCCTTAACATTTTAAAAATATAACTCATTCAGTGAATTCTAAAGAGTACTTAAGTTCTCTTTTAGATTGCCCTGTGCACATACCTATTAGGCTTCTGACAAGTTCCCACTCTGTCTTGCTTTGCCAACATTGAAGACATTTAATGAGACATTTACTCTGGATATGCTCCCACAAGTAAAGGTGAAATTTTTACATCCTTTGAAATTCTACTTGACTTGGGAGCCCTTAATGCATGGTCACAAGACCAGACTGTTGAAGTGCGGTTCAGGATGGGCAAGGCAAGACCATCAGTAATGCACATGAAAATACTTTTTGCTACAGGCTGCAACAGAAATATGAAGTAGAAATTCAGCTGATTATGACAAAGCTATACCTGGAAGAAGCTATTGGCCTTCCAGAGGATTAAGCCAAATCTCAGGGAGTATTTGGTGTTATTCGGCTTTTAATATATCAGCTGTTTCCTGCAATGAATTTCATGTGTGCTTATAACTTCTCCCAAGTGTTTTATCTGAAATACTTCTTAAGCATCCTAGGCCAAAAGAGCAAACAGACCACCTGCTGTCTCCTGAATTAAGGTAAACACCCTTATGGAGATACCCCCTAACATAGCTTTGTTTCTTGTGCAAATCAAGCTCAGACCCTCCTTCCTCTGAGCCCAAAGGGCATTCCAGAGCAATTGACTCAGAACAAAAGGGTTTTTTGCATACCAGGTGCAATGAGACTTTGAGGCAGGTTTCCTAGCTCTGAGCAGAGTTACTCCACCTGACCAGAAAAGCCATAGGTCAGAGTTTTTGCAGATGGTAGGTGGATTATATTGGGCACCAGAGTAGGAGAAGAAGGAAAGAAGACCGACGGAGGAACGGACAGAGACAAAGATAAGGTGGTGATGTAAAGAGCCTAGTTAGCACTAAGACTGTGAAAGCACAGGAGGTGGAGGGACAGAAAGGAGCTAAGCATGTGAACAGAATGGAAGCTGTGTAGATAGAATTTTATCTCAGAGGAATAAAGTGGAGGGATGAAAGAGCTCGGTGTACTTAAATTCATTCCCTCAGATTACCCCTGCTGCTGTTCATGGCATCTTCCCCAGGACTCTGGGAGAAATCTCCGCAGAGCAGGCCCCCAGAAGAAATTTCAGTACTTTTCTCTAGAAACAATAGAATGACCCTACAATCTGTTATTTCATTTATTCCCAGATAAAATCAATTTGGCTATGTGATTCCATAGAAAATAAGACTGAGATCCAGATTCATAAACAATCAGGTTGAATGGAAGTAGTAAGTTGGTGAATCCTATTGTCTATTTTTTGCAGTTAGAAATGGCAATGAACATTTCATTCATTTATTTCATTCATAGACATCAAAGAGCCCACTTCAGCAGAATTTGAGGGTTGTGCAGATAATTCCAGATTGTGATAAATGAAAGAGCCAAAAACAATGAAATAAAAGTCATTTATAGGACCATTTGAAGCCTGTCTTTCCTGGCACAAATGATGGAATACCTTATAAAGTTTTGAAATAGTCTAATGGCATTTGGCTCTGTAGATGTTTACTATAATGTCTTCGGTACTGTTGAAACATAGCTGCTGCCCTCATTTCTATTTCCTTCAGTCCTTCACTCTATCACACACGGTATCAGTTGTGCTATAAAAGTTTCCCTTCCTATGTCAGAAATGATTATATAACTATGCCTACACAACACTGTATAGAAATAGAAAGGATGCTGAAATCTACAAATGTGATCAATTTTTTTTTTTTTTTTTTTTTTGGTGTTAGCATAAAGAAAGAAGAATATGGCAAAGAACCAGATTTACCATGTGGGAAATAAAGATATGCACACTAGTGCTACATGCTCTCGGGTTGCCTGTTAACTAGCCTCAGTTTAAACCTTGAGGTTTTACATTCTGGATTCTTACCATGTTTCTGATGGGCTAGAGTTGGCTTGGTGTTTATTATGGCATCCATTGATTATTTGATTCGTCTGTCTTTTAGCAGTTATACATGCTTTCTATTGTCTCTGTGATTACAGGAAATAGTTTCCTTCAGTTCTGTTTGTTCTAAGTAGCTATTTATCATGTGAGTGTAGTATGTTTGTGTCTGGGATACTGTAGCTCTCGTACCAGTGTTCATAAGCTAAACTTGGTCTGACCCCTGCTAACTAGCTACACTCTCTGTGGGATCAACTGGCCATACCACTCTTTCCCCCTCTTCCAGAAGACTTGGACCATTTTCTCTCTATGTAGATCTTTACCCTCTATGTAGCTGAGGTCCCTGCCTTTTTTACTTTTTTTTTTTTAAGTTGAGGAAGGAAAGGATTGAGTCCCATCTCTTGGCCAGGATATGCCCCATGGCTATTAATGGCAATATCCTGTAGAGGTCCTCAGAGTTCTCTAGTTGGCTTGCTTTATTACATCATTCCTTGGTACCTTCATTCCCTTTCCATCCTCTATTGGCCACGCCTTCATCTGATTTAGTTGGTGACATCTTAGATTAAAAACCTTTCTGGACAATAACATCCTCAAATCTGTTGATTACTCCTTTCTCTGTACTACCTGTACATTGTATACACACACACACACACACACACACACACACACACACACACACACATGCTGGGATGCTCTTGTATTTATATTCTGTTTGGCTACACAAGTTTCAAATTAAAATTTGCATACGGGGAGCCAGCAAGATGGCTTAGTGGTTAAGTGCACCAGCTGACAAGCCTGAGGATCTGAGTTCAATCCCCAGGACCTACATGATAGAAGGAGAGAACTGACTCACATACACATATGCACACATGAAAATAAAAATATTATGTAATAATTACTTAAAATTTGCATATGGGCTCTTCAGAGGCAGGGACAATGGCTTCAATGTGTCTGCATTTCTCTAACAAATAATACACAGCAAACACCATTCAGCACTCAACTGTCATTTTCATATTGAGTTTCTACAGGCATGGAGAATATCAGAGTTCACAAAACATTAAATACCCTGCCTTCACATTCTTTTTTTTTTTTTTTTTTTTTTTTTTTTGCCTTCACATTCTTGTTGGAGAATGATAACAAAAAAAAATGTCTTAACACAAAAAAGAACATCAGAAAAAAATGGAGAAGGAAGAGAGGCTGGGTTACTAGGAGAGCATGTGAAGAAAAAGTTCCTACCAGAGAGAGAACAGCAAGCAGACACTGATTGAACATGGACCTGGCTGGCTGGAGCACACATAATGCTAAGGAGTGAGTGTCAGGTGCTGGGAAGTGGAAGGCTGAGGCAGAGAGATGCTGCCAGCCGCCACCATGACAAGTGAGATGTAAGGTACTGGTAAGCCACGAGCCACGTGGCAACTTATACACTACTAGATATGGTTTAAATTTAGAAGAACTAGATAACAAGAAGCCTGCCATGGCCATATAGTTTATAAGTAATACAAGTCTGTGTATTTATTTTATAAGTGGGCTGTGGGACTTCGGGGGCTTGGTGGGACCTAGAGAGAAGCTCTCCAGCTACAGTCAGGAAAATCTAACTGGAGTGGATAGGAAAGTGGAAGGAGAGCAAGTACAGTATGAACAACCCAGTGAGATCTCTAGGAAGAAGGGAAAACTTAGGTATCCGGGTGGGAGGTGGGAAGGATGTTAGGTCAAGTGTGAAGAGAAATAACTACAGCTAATGGCATTTCCATTGGGACAAGAAATACTGATGAGAGAAGGATGTAGGTGAGAACAATGTCTGGGTCATTTGAGTGGGAAGGAAATGAGGGATGTGGTCTAGTGCACAGGTGGTTATGGGTTAAGTTAACCACTGCTAAGAGAACCATAGGAAGGGGAAATGAAGAATATTCAGGCAGACATGTAAGCAGGGATAAATGTAGTAGGGCTAACTCATGTCTTCTCTTGGCTTCTAACCCTCCAGCCTCCAGAAAGAATCTAGCTATGAGACCTAGTCTGGCCTTATTCCTCTGCCTCAGGTCAGGTGCAAGGGTTACAGGTATGTGTCAGTCCCTGCTTGCCTTTTTTTTTTTTTTTTTTTCATGAAGCAAGCATATAAGTTCACTGTAGGAAAGTGCAGAGAGAAGAGGTTAAAGGTCGATGGGGGAGAAGATGGTAGGAAAGTCTTTTGGAAAGGTGGGAACGAGAATAGAAGAGGGTGTGCTTATGGTATCTGGGCAGCAGTGAGGACCAGTGGCTCCTAAACTGAAGGTCAGACAAAGAGCAGAGGTGGGGCCACATTGAGCTTCCAGATATAGGTGCTGTGGGAGGCCAGCTCCCACCTTTCAAACGGTTCCTATGAAGAGGAGAGAGGGACAAGAGACTTAGATAGAAAGATAGCAGAGAGGAGACAGAAACACAGGATAGCTTCGGGAGGACCTGGATCAAAACTCAATGGTCCCTTTTGCCTCTTCAAAAGGGCTTTTTATAACAATGCCAAGGGGCGAGGCAAAAGACCTCTCCCTTGCTAGATCAAAGCATACCACACAGCCACTATGCAGATACTTCCAAATACCTGGTAACCACACCCATGGCCAAATCATCCCCTATGCCATCCCTGCTGGGTAAAGCAAGCTCAGATTCTCGACTCTAAGTTCTTACTAGGAAACTTCTGTGGGTCTCTACAAAGTGCAGGGACTGGAATATCCTGGGATGGGGATACAATGCAAACACTGAATCAGATTGCACTAAATGAAGCCTACTTCCTGTCATAGAGAACAGAAAACAGTTAACTCTAGGGATCAACTATCTACCCCACAGAGTTTGACCATCTTGAAGACAAAAATACCCAAAACCAGCATTGTGGAACACTTACCGCCCTTCAAATCTGTGTTTTAAAAAATCGAACAGTGCTTTTTGCATCATATCTGTAACCTGTAATTGGATAATAAATTAAAATGTGAGAAAATCTGAGGATTAAAAAATTGTTACTGATTATGAGAACCAATTTCACTTCTCATTATTAACATTTAAAAACCTGAGCATATTTGGAAGAAGTGTGGTTACCACATTTCCTGTTTCCAAGCCCTAATGAAACAACCAGATAAAATTTCTGAGCCTATGATGTTTTAGTGACAAGAAATTACTTTGCAAGGCTTGCAGTGTTCTCCATTTGATATTTTTTCCTGGATATGGTGAGTTATAGCTAGCAGGAGTATCCAAGGCAACCTTCAGGAAAGCAGAGTAGTGAGCAAACTGTACCACAGCCTGAAAAACAACATGCTTGGCTGCTGTGAGTCAAGCTCAAATTCACCTCATACTCACCTCATACCCCTTCAGAGAAGGGCCCACTAGGACCACAGGTCGCATGGAAGGTACCACATCATAAGGAGGAGTGTGCTCTGTCTGCAGAGAGAGGAGACATTTTTAGACTCCTCAAAGGCAATGGACCTAAATACTTTAGGCATAAAGTACTCCTTTCTAAACTCTAATATACAAGACACTGATTTTTCAGACATTTAAATATTTCCATAATTGCCTCTTTTCTAAGTAAATAAAACCAATTAAAGATTGGTAGCTTTCTTTTCCTAAGGTTCAAGTTACTGATTAATCTTTAGTTTCCTTGAATACAAGATACTTGGTAGAACAAACAGAAACATGCCCAATGCAGACTAGGTACTTTAGGCTCAACTGTACATGGCTTCTTTGCTCTCCAGGTACACTTGGACTTTCTGAAGAGTTGAATGGATGATGGTTAATCATGGAAGACAAATTCCTGTTAGCTTTGCATATGATATGTTGGTCTTACCTGTATAAACCTTAGTTACCAAACACTGTGCCTCTCACTACCAAATGCTTGGAATTCCACTGAAATTAGAGGAAGCAGCAAGTGGCATGCATGCTTGCTTCTTAACAGTGATAATCATCACTGTTCACAGCTTCAGTGCTAATGCTTTGGAATTTTTGACCTTTGTTTTTTGGCACTTATAAAACTTCTCAAATCAAGATTTATGTGCATTGGAATGAAGGTGAATGATTTTCATAATTTTATTTGACCATGCTTCAGTGACTTCAAAATGCTTATTTCTGCCTTGTATATCTAATATGTTTTTGAAGCACATATTAGCTAGTTTCTGCTCCATAACTGATTCATATCTTTCTAGGGATACTTTGTTTGTTTGTTTAGAAGAATAGGGTAGAAATTAATTTTATTGCCATTTCCAAAACTATCACTTTTCAGCTTGATTTTTTTCAAATAAAAATTTGAAACTTAGGTAACATAATTTGTTTGATGAAATTTAAACAAGCTCTGGTAACAGGCTATTGTAAAGTGATGGAGAAGCAACCTTTCTTAATGCATAAGGGCAAGAGATAGGGCTTTGGACACTGGATGAACAAATAATTTACTCTTGTTAAAGACTCATGAGTTCTGTAAGACACATCCTCCATTAAGGAGCATCTGAAAAATATATTTTAAACATGGCATATACCAAAAGAATTTTAAGAGTTTGATGAACTGATGTGCATATAATATTTGCACCATTCTGTCACTAAAAACCATTTGACTGTTGCTTAAAATCACTCATCACAAACTTGATGTATTCCTATGTTTCTTTTGCTTATGGAGCTATTTAGACCCACATCAAATTCAACAGCGTCCATATGAGCTTTCACCAGTAGTTGTAGACCATATAATCAAAGGGAAAAAGATGGTACTGTTAACTGGGCTGTTCACCTTTTACTGCTCAAAGCTTTCCCTAGCACTCAAAGCTTCATTTTAATAGACATGATAAAGATAAAATACATATTTGAATAAAATTTTTACAATTAGACAAACACAATACAGTGACAGCACAAAAGGCAGACAAGCAGCACTCTAAAAGCAACCTAAAACACGGAAGACAATTGATGTGGACTCGCACACAGCCAGCTCTCCTGTCTGAATTCCACATTATCACAGAATAAGGAACACGAGAGTGAGCACCAGTGCCGCAGGCATCAGAAGCAGATTTGTTAAGTGATTGCATCTCATAGCACTTGGGTTTGTACTGAAAATGCCTGGAGACCACATCCTTTTGATACTGGAGTAAGAACACCCCTTTCACCATTACCAGTAGGGATATAAATTGCACACAGTGTAAGAACAGCTATTAAGAAATCTGAGTGGCCCAGTATTAGACAGTACTTTGGTTCCTTCAGTCTGTGACTGCCAACTAGCAAGGGTTACCCATGCTGGCCATCAATCAGCTTCTCTATCAGCAGGGGCAGCAATAGAAATTACCTTATTTGATGGAATATTGGTACTCCATGCCATATTGCTAATGATAACATTTTTATCTGTCCTTTTAGCTAAGCTATTTTTTTTTTTTTGCATCTTTAGTGGAAAAATTAGGATAAACTTGTTTAATGTTGTGAAATTTGCAGGCAGGTGAACTGCAAAATACTCTCTGATGAACATGGTCATATCAATGTTGCTACTTGAAGTCCAGAGTGGCTGAGTAGTGTTGACTGTCTAAGAAACACCTGCATTTACCTAGCTGCAAGCTTCAGCTATGATGACAAGGACAGACCAGAGAGGTGGCCCACTCTTGTGGAAGATCATCAGGTTGGGGCTTTCTGTGTCAACACAAAGGTCCAGGTGTTTAAAATTTTGCCTGGAGTTCTCTTCCTAATGATTATTTAAAAAAAAAAAAAAAAAAAAAAAAAAGCTTATGCTTCTGTGTATGATAACTTACTGTTAACCTCTAAAGAGCAAACATGTTTTATTTGTGGAGGTAAGACTTTTAATTTTCTGAAAGTCTAGGGAAGAACAGAGATTTTGCTTCATATATAAGTTAAAAAATACCCAGGCTTGTGCCAGACTTGGTAACAATAGGGAGTATGAGTCTGAAAGGATAATGGCTTGGAAGGTGTTATGTCAAAGGAGAAGAAAAAAATGGAAATAGGGAGGGCTTTTAAAAATAGTGCTACAAAGCAATGAAACAAGCCGAGAGGAAACTTGTATACAAAGAGGTCTTGGGAATTCCCTGGAGTTTCCAGTCAGGGTACAGCATCAGTATATCATCTTGATTGGCCAAGGAAAAAGGCTTTACATATGGCCAGCAGCCCCATTGTCTAACAGGTGAGATGCTGAAATCTGACTGATGGAGAAGGCAAGAATATTGGGAGAGTGTTTATATATGACAATAGGAAAAACTCACAGTAAACCGCCAAAACAAGCCTGTAGTTTTCCACTGGTCTTGTTCATCAGCAGATTTTGCACCTAATGGATTAGAAGTTTAAATACTGACTGAATTAAAAATTGAATAACCTTTTTTAAAGCACAAGCAATGTATCTGGATATTATAAACCAGAATCCAATAGCTGCCTTAATATGCTTTATTATAAGTTAAGTTGCTGGCAAAAAGAGAGACAGACAATAAAAGCATGTACAACTGAGGTGTGTTGTACAGCAGGGCCAGTGTTGGACATCTTTGAATATTTAAACAAAGTCTCTTGTGGCAGATATTATTCCATCAAAAAGGATAAGTATTGTAATGGCATTTCAACAGGTCACTCACTGAATTTAGTTGGTGTAAGATACATGGATTCAGTTAGCTGTTGATAGGCTGTTTTAGGACCCGGGTGACTGTACTTAATAAAACTGAAGGAATTGATGCTAATGATGCCAGTGACATGAAAAACACGGGTATGTCAATGTGGACTTACCGATTTCTGCTTCTGCTTAGCTACAGCAGCATGGAAAAGAAACAAAGAATAACAGAGCATGCGTGTTATTGGCTTGTCAAAGGACGCAGACATTCAACAGGACTGGAAGTGTGACGCAGTGCAGTTGAGCAAGTGGACAACAGGAGCTGGGAAGTCTGTGTTACCTTCTTAAAGAAGGGCATTCTTTTCTCTTTGGAGTGGGGTGACGTTACACTGTTTGCACTGGGCTTAGGGGAGCGGTGGTTTGCTGGAATATCATTCTCTTCTGCATCTAAGCCAGTGGCATCTATGTCTATAGCTATATACAGACAAACAATTCAAAAGTCGTCAGGTGGACAGGAGAGGAAAAGTAGGTTATAAAGAAAATAAAATGAAAGCAAATAGACTAACCACTGTAGAAGAAGATTTATCATGAGTGAGCAGCATATTACAGAATAAAATATGAACATAAAACATTAAAGATGCAATGCAATCAAATTTAACTAGACTGAGAGATACCCTTGGGATAGCTGTTTTTTGCACAAGTCAGTTTTGTGCTAGATTTCCTGAGTACTTTTAGAGAAACATTTTTTACTGTTTAAAATGTTGATATTGTTTATATTAGCTTCTAAATGTAAGATACAAAGCATTTGGTCTCACTTTGTACAATGTCTTAGAGCTCAGCTCTTAGGTAAAAGACAAGTGCTTTGGACACATTTAATATGATAGGCCTCAGTCTTCTCATTTTGTTTGATTTTAATGTTAGGAGAAAGGGAACCACATAAAAAGTTTCATCAAAATTATAGCAGACATTTGAGGAAAAGAGACTAGAAAGCCCTTAATCCAGGCAACACCCAGGAAGTTGTAAAGAAGACAAATGATTGTTAGGGTGTTCTGGAATGGGCAGGATTGAAATGATTTCAAGGTAGTGTGGGTGCTCTCAGAGAGCCTGATTGAAGACCAGTGGGAAACACCAGATTAATGAAATCATTATATCAAAATCAGTTAAGATTTGGGTGCTTTCCAAGCCTCTGAGGCAGAATGCAAGATCCCAAAGGCACAAGAGAACAGGCCTCTTCTTTCCTCATGAATAAAATAAAGGTTCCAAGTTGGTTGCTTGACATGTTTTCACTTCTGAAATTCTTTTACCTGAAAATGTAGCTCTAAAACTAGTCAGTGAAAAAGGATGCATAATTTCACTTTCAAGTTTCTGCAATCTTTCTAACATGAAATTGCTATAACATTTGATCAACTACAGAATCAAGTGGTAAGTTACAAAGGTCAACTCAAACACTTGGTTTTTAAGATTTAGACGCTGAACCCACAGAATGAAAGGGGCTTGCTCTTGGCAGAATTCCTGCAGAGCCAGGCTGCAGACCCAGCGTGCCTGCCTTAGAGCTGTACCCATTCCTGCACCACACTGCCTTGTAGGTGAGGTGCCTTCACCGCCTGAATGCATTCTTTCTGTTCCTTTTACTTCTCTGTTGCTCATGTCCTTGGGATTTGAACTTGCTAGGCAATTACTTTATGGGTGAGATTAGGTCAAGCAGAAGAAAAAAATTTATTCATCCCATTAATCCTCACTCAAAATATGCTAACTCTGGAACAAATTCCACATTGTATCGATATAAAGGATAACCAGTTAGAGTAACAGTTTGATACTTAGGTTCAGCTCCCATGCCCTGTGATACACAAGCTGAGCTGAAGATTACAAAAGCCTCTCCTGACCTTTTCAAAGGACCCGAGATCATCTGAGACAGCACATCATTCTACAGTTTTGCAGTTTCTGTGGTCTGAGAGGTTTCAGACTTGAGAACAGGGATATCCTGTTTAGTTGTTTTTGTTTGATTGGTTCAGAAGTCTGTGAAGGAGTGAACACCTGACTTATCTGCACAATGTTGCAGTTATCAGCTCTGGTATTTTATGGGTAGGGATTTCTAGCCTGTGCATACTAATTAGTTACAAGTTCAGACCTTGATCTGCAGAGGAAGGTCATAGTCAAAGGATTTTCAGACCAACTTAGATTTTTACACCGCACTATAGCTTTGCTCATGTTGGAAGGTTTCTATATGGTGCTTCTTGGGCAATATTATCCTGAAGAGAATGTGAAAGCAGGTCTTGAATCCCAACAAGGAAGCATGCTGTTACAACTTCCGGGCATGAAGGTGAGGATCTAGGCTGTTATTTCATTCTTCTAATAATAGGTCTCAACATCAAATCTGCTTCCTTTCTGGTGATGTGTTCCCATCTACTTCATCCTCCCTCCCTTTCCCTGGGCTTATGAAAGCCACATTCGAGGAACAATACCCTCCAAGAACTTGATTGGAACTGAGACTAAAAACCCCGACAAATGCAAGAGTTCATAGACCTTCATGATGGTGGCATTTCTGAATTGAATTTTAGGATTTATCCACTGAATCTCATCTGCTATGGTCATCGGATGTTTTAAAAGGAAATTCATGAAATGAATTTAAACTGGAAATTTGTAAAGAATGGGAATGCATACAGGTCTAGGCCTGACAAGGATGAGCTATTCAGCCCCCTGTATAGAGCCTGAGTTCCAGATGGAAGGTGACCTGCACCTCAACACCAAGGGCTCCAAATCCCTTTCCAACTCAGTACTTGGTGGCTTCTTGCTTAAATTTAGGTCTAGAAATGTTGGGGTTCATTCTGAAACAGAATTCAAAAATGTCACATTCAGAACACATTAAGAAGCACACTTTTCAACTCTTCAGTTTTCGGTACACTTGACTGAACTCAGATGATTCTCCTCCTGAGAGATGCTACCCACTTTTAATTACATACTTGTATTCCCATACTCTAGCAAACACTAGCATTTATGTGGGGAAAAGGTGCTTCCACATAGTTTAAACTATTTTATTATTCTTCACTGTTATTTATTCCTTGTCTCATTCCTTATTTATTTAGAAAACCTTAGGAACATATTTTAGCTTACTCTTGGAGCTTGGGTCAAGTCAAGCCAAGTTCGAGACTGGGGCCTATGCACAGGTATAATGTGAGGTACTATTGTGCAACTGGAGACTACCTCATTGTGTATATGGGAATTGGAAATTACTCCTTGGTCTAGCAGTGAGTTGGGAATTATAGTTAGGAACTCTAGTAAGCAAAAGAGATGAAAGTTACACTTGTAGACCAGTCTACATTTGCTATGGAGCAGTCAGTTGTCTTTGGAAGTAGACTTGGAAAATTTTCTCTGGAATTTTCTGAAGATTCCCTTTAGATCAAGGGATCTTGATTTAAAGGGATCTTGATCTAAAGGGAATACAAAAATGAAGAATCCCTGAAGAATCCCCATTGAGCTATTGATAAACTCATCACAGAGCTTAGATATTCTGATAGTGCATCTTACATTTGGCTTTATCTTCAGTCCACTCAGTCTCAATGTTGATTTTTAGCAATGATGACACGTGACTCCAAAATTAAATATTATTTTGCATTCACACCAACTAACTTGTTCTCCAGTACACAGGCACTATTCAGCATTTTGTTAACACCAATCAAGGTTGTATTATCATTAGAGGACATGGAAAAAGTCTACTTGTCTCCAGCAGGGGCTTTATCACAATCTGATAAAACTTCCTCCCATGTTAGGGCCTTCATGACAGTCTTCAGATATAGCCTTTTAGATAGTTAGGTTATCTTTAAGGCCTAGAAAGGAATCCCTGTAACTTCACATGTTTGAGCAAGGGCAGGAGTGGACTCCTTCTCTTGTGCATACAGAGATTCCTGATTCCTCTTTCATCATGGTAGACATATGCCCCGCATTAATACTGCAGGCCTTCAGTGTCTGCTCTGAGCAAACTAGCTTGCTTAATTTTCTGTGGCTTTAAATAGCTATGAGTTATAAGTGTATAGTTTTTCCAACCAACCTCGACCCTAAAATGACAGTTCTTTTTCTGCTCAGATCTTGCTCACTTAAAAATATATACTTTTGCTAAACATTTACTTGATAAAAGGTGTCAACTTTCAGGAGGCACATATAGAAGAACTTCAACTTCGCACATGACAGATTTATCAGATAAAATACAATGTAATACACTGAAATTTAAATTTAAATTCACATAAAACCTTTCTGCCTTTGACAACATGTCACAGTAGGAATAAGGTGAGCAATGGCATTACATCTGTCACTTCTGTAACAACTTAGAGCAAATACAGGCTATTTCCTTGCTCCATCTTCAATACCAAGAAGGAAAAAAAAACTGTCCATACTGTCCCTAATTTCATGGGGGCCTTGTTATTTCTGATACACTTTAACATGTGTAGGTTTGTAAATTCACATAACTAAAGTAGTCAGGGTAGCATGAAAGGTGTATACAGTGCTCAACACTGATCACCTACTTACCAGATGATGGAGGTGTCGATTTTCTGGAACTAGGTACTATGTCACCCAGACTGGATGATGAATTTCCTCCTGATTTACTGAAGTAAAGTAAACATTCAGATTAGACTCAACAATTGTTTTAGATGTTAAAACATTGTACTGCTCAATAAATGTTATAATTTATCACAGTTTTTAATTGAACCAAAAAATGTCTGCTGCTAAGAAGGAAGCAAATTTCCCAATGGAGATTCCTAGAGTACTTGAAACAGTTTTATGATAGTCTCTGTTTTGAAGTTCATGTTTTAATTTTTTGAAGTCCCTGGGAGAATGGAAAATAGCTAGGATAATTTCTGCAGCCCTCCAGTTCCATGCCCAGATGACAGATGGCTAGACAGAAGAGATTTTCTTTGCCTTTACATTTAGAGGACTTGGAGGCAAGGTGTAAGACCTCAAGGCTAACACCAGTTTCTTTGGATCAGCTTGATTACTTTTAGTATCTTAATATTAAAAGTATACCTTGCATGGCAACCCATAAATGAAAAACATAGCAATACCCCAATTCACCAATATTTAAGATAAAAGAAGAAACTTAGACACAGATTGTAATATGAATTAACTAGAAGACAATAGTGAAAATTTTCAAAACAAGACATCAAGGATCCAACTTGGTTGCATTGTGAAGATTATTCAATACTTATGAACAGGGCAAAGGGGTATCTACTAAAATATGCTTATAAGAAAATGTTATAATGACATCTATATCTTGTATGATAATTTTAAAAGTAAAAAATACAAATTAAAAAAACCCACAGTTATAAGATCCTAATGTGATGGAGCATATGCTTACGTGTCTTAGAAACTTTGGAGTTTATAGTAGAATTTACAATTTACCAGTACATAGAAATGTGTGTCATCTCTTAACACACATAAAGATCCCAGAAACATGCTCATAAAATGAGAATGTCATGGAATTCAGACAACATAACTGCAGTGCCCAGGGATTCTTATCATGGATGGTCCAGGTCCTACTAGAAAGAATTGTGGACCATGGCTGTGCCTCAGGGGACCCTGCTGACAAAGCTAAGTACTGATAAGCAGGTAAAAGATCTGCCCTTACTGATTGGTTGAATTTTTTCTCATCTTAATAGCATTTTAATACACAAGCAAATGTCAAGCACTTTTCTAAACAACCAGCAGGTGGGTTTTGCCTCTGTAAGAACTTAAATATTTCTGCATATCCAATAAGGACATGCAGGAGTGTATACAGTTCATAAAAAAGTAGAACTTACAGAATCACTTTTGCCAATTACAAAAGGATACTGATCGCTAAAACCAAGCACTTTCTTCCTGTGGCTTTTACCTTTTGTTTGTATCCTCAATAAAATCCTAAGTCCAACTTTAGTTCAAGCATGGATTTGCTTTAGTTTATTTATAAATTTTAATAGGCAATATATTATGTTGTGTAAAATTGTGACAGATTCTGCCAGTACCTAAACTGTTCAGAGGCAGATGTGTCTTTTGAATGCCATATACATGCCCAATTCTTGAACTGTACACCTTTGATTGTTTGTTAATCTTTT